CACCCATTGTCGACCGCAAAAACCGCCTCCCAAGTGGCGAGCATCAGCCGAGAAAGCACTCTCAGACGGCTTGAAGATGAAGTCACGCTCGACCTCGTCAGACCAGCAGACCAGTAGAGGAGTCGATGACTGCCGCAGTCCTCAGATGTATGACGAAGCAGATCGTAAACCAAATTTCTTTGGTCTTCGATCGACTCAGGCCAAGCACGAGCATTGCCCAGTCGTTCAAGATCAGGCAGGCCCGGTGTCTTGCTGGAGCCATGGCCATGCACCACCATGATCAAACGGTCGCGGTCGGCCGCAAGGACATCAGACCGCACGGCTGAAAGTCTGGCCACGCCGATCTTCTTCATCTTCTCGAAGCGTTTTTCAGCCTCCCGCTCTTTTTCTATCAGGCGGCCAGCAGCGGCTGCTTCGGACGAAGCATCAAGTGTCGCCCATTCCTCCTTCTTGGTCTTGTACTTTTCCAGGGCGGCAGTCAGGCTAACTTGCTTGTCAGTCCTGCGACGTTTGGCTGATTCGCCGGCTTCAGCCTCCAAAGTAGCGAGGTCTTCAGGCTGAGACTCCGCCGGCGCCTGTTGCAAGAGTTGCTGCTGCTCCAGCCCTCGCTGTCGCTTCAAGCCAGCTCTTGAAAGCGGGTTCAGGCGGCCGTTCAGAACCCGACGACCCAGTGAGCTGCGGCATCCTTGCGAGCCGCCGCTCGGAGCAAACAGGCGACGGTATTCTTGCAGCAGTTTCAGGCACGGCTTTCTCGGGAGGATGCTGTGGGGCTCGCGACAGACGAGTTGGTCGGCTGTCGGCCCGTCGAGGCGGACCTTCATTAATGACCTGGCACTTCGACAGAGACTGAGAGCAGAAGATTTTCAAATTTCTGGTCCCATGCAGGACGACAAGATGGACTTGACATGAGCCGAGTTGCCGAAGGTGTCCCCGCGAAGTCTTGCCCTTTCTCCCCTCCGAGAACTGCTGCAGCCAGCTGAAATTCTGCTCAATCTCGCCGGTGCTCGGGAAGCAACTCAGGACGAGGGCAGCCTCAGGACAGAATGGCTTTCGTCGTCTCACGTTTAATCCCACAGCTCAAAGACACTGAGCTAGGCAGGTAAGGAGCCGCTTCAGACAAAGCCGGGAGTTTGTCAGACCAATGCCGCATGGTCCTGGACCAGATCTCATTCAAATCCTCGCCTCCGGTCCTCAGTCATGCACTGTTCGTCTTGGAGTGAAGGGCCTCCGAAGAAAAGACTTGTCGCCGGGAGGCTGTGACTTCACCAGCAAGGCTGTAGGACGTGCCAAGAGGAACTCTTTGGCCAGCCGTGTCACCTGAGCGGTTGAACATCACAGCCTCGGTCCCGCTGAAGCGGTGTGGGCTCCAGACCTCCACTTGTGCAGCCTCTGCTAGCGGCTTGAAGATGTCAGGCCTCGGCATCGGATGTTAGTAGCGGTGATTATTACAGGAGCAGAATCGCACAGAAGATCATGGATCCTGTGGCTCTGGCAAAGCTTCGTCGCTGCACAGGGTATGGTTGACATCAAACGGAGAAAGCGATGCCTGGACGCCAACCTCCACATCGGCTTTCAGGCCTTGAACAAAAAGCTGAGCGATGTTGCGAATGGCACCGAGTTCTTTGGCCACGAAGGAACGTATCTTGTTCCTGTTGGCGCCGCTGTGCCAGAAGATCATCTTTTGCTTTACAACCAGGCACTTGTTCTGCTCAAGCTTTAGAGTCGCCTGCAGTCTTTGTACGTAGCCATGTGCATAGGCATCATCCAGAACCAGCGGCTGCTGCAGCTCTCCTGCCGGACTCCGAAAGTCGAAGAGTCGATTGATCAGACGCTCGAGCTGCTGAAGATTGTGGGCTGTCGCAGCCAATCGCAGATGTTGGCCGTCCAGTGAGTGGTTGAATTTCCTTGGATCTCTTGCCAGAGAAGACTTGCAAACAAGACTGATTCCTGCAGTCGCGGCTCGCAGCGGCACAGGCAAGCTCCGCGATCAAGCCAAGTTGGAGGAGCTTCTCCGGCTGAAAGCATTGTTGAAGAAGCTTAGTGGCCCAACCTCAGACAGCACAGACAAAAACATCGGCTAAGCAAAGGCCTCGCCATCCACGGGGACTCATGAACGAGCACGATCAGTTGAGTGGCCTGACAGTGCATCATCCACCGCTGCGAGATGGCTCAGGACATTGCAGACCGCATCTATGTTCTCAGCCACGTTGACGCAAGCATCGCAGACGGTGTTGAAACGTTGGGCTGCAAAGCCGAAGTGACACAATCGCCTCAGGCTTTCGTCCACACCCTCAAGCTGCTTCTCTGCCGTCAGCCGCTGGAGCTTCAGCGAGTTTCGCACAGCCCTGCAAAATCCTCCTGGATTTTTTTCCCACTGCCATCGGAAAATCCAAGCACCCAGCTCTGGAGAAGACCCTGCACATCCGGGTCAGACGACAAGGCCTTTTCGAGCGACCTTTGTCCACTATGGACGGAGCATCTCATAATCGCCTTCAATCCCGGCAGGGTTCCCTGGACCTCATGTGAAGGTGCGGTCCTTCAAACATTCAATATGCTGTTCTTGAAATCCGCAGAAACTGCAAGCGAGGCACTTTACTCAGCCGTGCCGCCAGAGGCTCGCTAAATTCCCCGTCGGCCATAAAGATGCGGATCTTGTCTTTGAAAGCATTCCGGAGGGCTTCCTCCGGCAAGAAGCTGGCCAGGGTGTCAGGCAGCGATCTGGCTTTGTCCAGTGCGGCCTCGGCTGGCAGGGCTACTGTACTGGAACCCGATCTGCCCTGGCTCACGTGCTGCCCAGCCTTCTCAGCCGTGGCCAGGTCTAGCATGCGGCAATGAACGGACCAGTCGGCCATGACGTACCGCACCTTCAAAAGCTCGAAGCCGCCTCTTGCATCCTGCAACACACGACGCACTGAAAACCGGCATGGATACTACTCTTGGCATTCGGCTCCTCAGCCAAGGCCACTGCCCGAACGGGTTGCTGCAGGCGACGGCGGTCCACGTTGAAGGCGGCCTCAGCCGCAGCCTCCATGATGTTGTAAAACATTCCTCGGGACGAACGCCCCGTTGGCCATAAAGTCGGATTTGTGCGATTGTTGCTCAGACACCGCCTCTGGTATTCGTGCCCGGAACCTCCAGCAAGTAGAACTTCCAGTGCCGTCAAGCATTGGGCGGCTGTGGGGCCGCCAGTATCAGACGAGACCAGCCGTTTCACGGTTGTCTTATCTTCGTCCACCCCCTGGCCTTCATCGTGGTCCTCAGCCTTGCCTTCAAGGAAACGGACAGCAGCCAGGTGGAATTTGCTTTTCTGGGCATTGGCATTCTGCTTCAGGCCGCCGTGCCGAAGCATGTCCTCTATTTGAAGAGCAGCCGGTCTGCCGCCTCACCTGACATGAAGCACGAGAAGAGAAAACCTCAAGCACACCATGCACCGCTGTCAATGCCATGCCATTCGCGATCCCAGGCACCGAAGTCCAGCACCAACGCTGCATTCGATCCAAGGCCGACTACGCAGTGGCACGCATTCCTTGCCGCCGAGGGCTGCGGCATACTCACGGCAGACTGAGCACCCGATGCCGAACTTCGTGCCCGGATCAGACCGGATCAGCCATGACCTGGTCGAACCTGGCATGACAGACTCGCTCGTCCTGTCTTACCGCCTTCGCAAGATTCCCGCCTTTGATGGTGTAAGTACACCGCTGTTTCCAGTCCGCAGCATGTGCTATCCACCGGCACTCGTTGCAATGCTTTTTGCCTTCCTCAGTCAAGAAAGGATTCACTGCAGGAACATGGCGAGGCAGGCACACATGGTCAGAAGGCAAGTCGCGGGGCATCGCCGCAAATGCTTCTCTTCGGCAATACGCTCGGCCATTGTTGCCCTAGGAGGCCCTGTGAACTATTGTCACGACTGTCGCAGGTGCATGCCGCATACATTGGCATCGGACTTGCTATGCTTCTACTGATGTCATGCCTCTCTACAACCGTCCTAAGGATCAAGCCTGGGCCTACACGGCCTCTGCATCGGATTTGTTATGCAGCTCATGATACTCATGATGACATGCCTCAGGCTGCCTTGTCAGACTCAGCGATGCAACAGACTTTCGGCGCCACGACTGCTAATCGTCTCTCTGCAGGGCGAGACTAGAAACTTGCCCAAGCCCCATGCTTCAGGCGGTGCTGTTTCTAATAAGCAACACCCACCGCAAAGAAAATGCTTCAGACTGGGCCTTGAATCCTGTGCGATTGCATGCACAACGGCTCAGTCACGTTTGTTCTTCTTCTCCTTCTTCTCCTTCTTGGACTTCTTGCTCACAGGCTCCACCTGCCCAGGACAACAAAAGCATTTCTCCCGCAGAAGTGTCCCCAAGCTTGCCTCCTGGTTGCAGTGTGGGCAATAGTAAGCCCGCTTCGAGCCCTGTCGCACAGGCACAGTCTTCTTCACGTGTTTGAGGTAGATCTGTCCTCAGGCAGGAAGATTCAGCAAGAGACACAAGGTTTCAGGCTTTGCAACCAGTTCGGCCAGGGGGCTGGCGATGTCCATCACATGGCCACGGGTGAGGAGGGTCTGCTTGGAGAGCTTGCCGCCATATTCCGCAGCGAACCCCATGCATTCCAGGTCCTTCTTGTTCTCAGGCGACAGATGATCTTCTGCTTTCTGGATGATATTCCTTCCCAAGAGGTACACACGACCTCTTGCTGCACGAGGGCACACAAAGGCCATATGGCCTGGGATGGTGGCGACCTCTGCACGTTTCAAGTAAGAGTTTGACTGACGAGTGTCTCTTATTATGTATTCGCCCTTGCAGGTGCAAATGCTCGAAAGCGGCCTTGTGGAAGAAGCCACCATCGAAGATTCCCTTGCTCTCGGCTACCCGATGATACCACAGGCCGACACGCTCGTCAGCCTTCTCAGGCGAAGGTGGAGTCCCGCAGGGGAACAAGACCACGTCATGCTTGTCAGACCAGCCTCATACGGGGGCGACAGGGGACTGAAGACAGCCGGTCGCTTGCAACTCCAGCCTGCCATTTGCACCTGATTCGGCGGGTCAAACAGTATATCCAACGTCGTGATCTTGCTCCTTGGAGGAGGCAGTTGAAATCACTCAGCCGGTCATCTGTCTGTGTATCGTCCGGACTTGCATGTCTAGTTGCTCTGGTGCCGACTGCATCATGAATTTCAAGAGGTCCCGCATGCCGCTGTGGTGCTGCACGGCCAACCCCTTCACTTTGAAGCCCTCTTTGATCTTCACCAATCCATACGTGGACTTCGTGGCCGGAGTCTTGCCCTTCTTCTGCATCAGGAGACTCACAAGATTATCCACCTGGTCGAAAGAAGCAAAGTCGATGTCGTGTAATGGGATAATATCCGGCTACTTCAGGTCCCGGGCCCGACTAATGGCCGCAGCAGTCGCTGCATTCGGGATGTCAGACGCTCCTCATCAAGGAAACGTGGAAGACAGCATAATTCATAGTCATGAAGAGCAGCCCGAGAAGAACTTACACAGATTTTCCTGCCTGAGCCCGCCATGCCAAAAATGCAGCCCGGGCTGTGCACACTGGGATCTAGCACTCGGAGCCCGAACTGCAACTTTCGTATGCTTCCCGGCAAACAATCCAAGGTCATCCGACAAGACGGTGCAAGAGACTGAGATGGTGACTGACTGCACTGCTCCCGCAATGCTGACCCAGACCTACAGTCAGCAGCAGAGGTCAAGGCTGCCGTGCCTTGAAGTATCAAGCAAAGCTGGGGCTCCTGCTTCACATCTCGCTGCACGCAACGGAACCTGTCCAGGCCGTCATTGTCATTCATTGCAGCACACGATCACACCGACACACACACACACGTGCAGAGGCCAGCAGAGACGCACACGTCTGCCACTTCAACGTCGCTCTGCATGTTTTACTGTGCTTGCAATGCTTCGCGAATCACCGCAGGCCATGCTCCTCTGCAAGCTGCTGGCAAGACCGGCGTTTTTGGAGCACCGGTTCAGCCATCGCAAGCCACATCAGACGGACTTCCTCGGCAACCTCCCGACTGGCATTGCTCAGTCTGAGGACAGACCGTGCTTTCTTGTCAGGCGGGCCCGGGTTGCAGGCATCAAACAATTCCAACAAACTTTCCGCTGCCTTCCAGGGGCTCATATGAAACAAGGCCTTTTTGGTAGCTGCCTGGTGAACCGTCATGGCCAATGCCCACGCATCGGCCTTCACAGTCAAAAGTTGCTTGAGGATCTTCTCAGACATGCCCTTGGCAACCTCAGGCGCTCGGTAGGCATAGGTGTACACCCCTGCCCCGTCCTCCACGAAATCCTCTGCCAGTGGAAGCCGGTATGTCATCCCGAAGTCGATGATGAAACAGGAGTTTGTCAATGGATCATAAAGAATGTTCTGCGGCTTCACATCACCGTGTATATGCTCAGTCCTCCTGTGCAGGTGGGCCAAGCCGGCGAGCACTTGATGGGTGAGGGCCAACTGCTTCTCAGCATCAAAAGCTCCAACGTTGTGCAAGTAATGCAGGACGGAGCCCGCGGCCACGTAAGGCATGATCATGAAGGAGATCTGGCCGGGAACGAACTCATCCTCAGTCACCACCGACTCTGCGAGCAACGGCAGAAAGGTCTCGTGAGCCAGCTGCTTCAGCAAGGCGACTTCCTCAGACAGGTGGAAATTCGTGTTGCT